GAGGATAAAGGAGGCAGTCTGAGGATAAAGGAGGCAGTCTGAGGATAAAGGAGGTCTGATAGAAAGAAGAGGAATTATTGCAGGTTTTCATCACATGAAAATCGCTGCGTTTGTTTCCATCTCAGGGAAAGCAGGCGAATGTTTCCAACCATTGGCTCTGATCTGGGATCAGATTGACCCTGCAGACGGCGGGAAGGATGAGGCTAAAAGATCAAAATATCTGAAGGAACGGATTCAGAAACGTCTCTAACTTCCTCCAGTTTTTAGTTCTAATCTAAGTTTTAAATTCTGTCCAGATCGATCTGCATCACGGCTGCAGCTTTAATTTCAGAGAAGTTGAAGCTGTTTGATTCTTGGCTGGTTTGAAGCAGCAGCCGAGCGACGCGGGAAGAAACGCCTCTCAGCAAACAGGAAACACTTCAGTTAATGGCGAAGCAGCAGGAAACCCTAATCAGGATGAAGCTTTGCTTCACTGGCATCAGTGAAAAACAAAAAATATAGAACAATAAAAACTAGAACAACAATCATTTCAGTCACATATCTGTTATTTGGCAGTTTGTCTTCATAGTTTCTGCTTTTTTTCTGACATTTATGAGTAAAACTCTAAATACAAGTTATAAGTAAAATCTATATGCTAAATCTACAAATAAAATTCTAGGTAAAATCTATAACAAAAAATCTCTATGTTAAATCTATAACTAAATTCTATATATTAAATCTATTTCTACATCATACAGCTCTATATAAAGTTGGGCTGGTTCCTACATTTTGGGGGCGTGGCTACATTGCTAATTAGCATTTCTGCTGAAGGTGAAATAAATAGATTAAAGTTTGCATCTAAATATTAGAAAAACAAAAATGTGAAATAACAGATCTGTGACAGTAGATCTTTTTAAATTAGTTCTCCATGAACTCCCTGGGAGCCCAGAGATCAAAGGAAACAGATATTTATTTATCTAATGGACCTTTTTGATGTTTTGGTTTCAATTAAATGAAAATGCTGATTATTGGAGCTGAAAGATGAAAACCTGAAACTAAAGCAGATGATTTTCCTCCGACTGCAAACAACCTGCATAGTTTATTATTAGAGTATAAAGGTGTCAGTCTATGAATATGAATATTTTTATCAACTTTAAGGAGAGGCCATTTATGGGGGGGGGGGGG